CAGCAATATCATGTTCATATGGCAATCCAGTCAATTGCCAAACATTACAACTACAAGATTGGTTAGTCAAGTTCACCCTAACCCTTTGACCCTTTCCAGAGACTTCATACACATCTTGGACCAAGTTTCCAGTCCATGTAGGTGTCCAAGAATTGCTGGCAACCTTCAATTGGTTCAGCCTCTTCTGTTGTGCAGGTGCAATCTTTCCCCTAAATGTTTGCAAAATTTTCTTGTGTGCTGCCATCCTTCGCATTATGTAACATCTCAATTCCTCACACAAAGACATTATAGGTTTGGACCTATAATTCACAATCTTTCAATTCCAAACCTCAGCCATGTTATTTGTAATCTTGTCACATTTAGGCCAGTGACTATAGTATGCCTTAACCCAACAAGAAAGATCTATATTGCCAAGATACTTCCAAGCTGGTTCATTTAAGGTTTTCAGCCTTTGCATAACCTTCTGAAATTGGGGAACAGTTGTGCATCTAGCACATTCCCAAACAATTCTCCTAGTCTTTTTATCCTTCCATTGTTTGATGAAGTTCTTCACACATGTTGGACACAGAATCAGTGATGTGCACCTGGCATAATCTCCTTCAAAGCTGGAACCAGTCCCTGTATGTGAAAATGAAACTGATTGTTATATATCAATCAGCACAAGCAATTTAAAATACCTCAGCAACAATAAAAAACCATAAACAAATAGACAAATGGAACATGCATTTTTTCCCACACTTTTCATGTGGTTTTTAATTGTTCTAGGATCAACCTTGGACCACTTTACTCACACAGGGACCGTACCACACCCGGTAGCCATTTGTTTACTTTAAACCCCAAAGTAATGCACGAATGAACACACATTAAACAACAAAAACTTTATGGGGACCACTGACAACAAATAGTAACTATAATAAAAAGTGTTCCAAAATAGATTACTGTCTTACCTTTTAGTACACAACGATGAGCCTCGTACCAAACCAAAGCTATTTCTTGCTCCACTTCCCTCCAATTGTTGAACCGCTGTAGAATCAAAACGCAGGGATACATTAACAAAACGATGGTATTCCTTTTCAACAATGGATGTTGAACTTCCAAGAGTGGGAAATGGTAAAGTTATCAACGGTTAGGTGAGGGGCACTTTTGGGTTTCTCCAAATGATTCTAAGCAACGTGGACGCAGGTTAGGTGACGACGTTGTTTCCACTCCAACGTGGCAGTTGAGCGCTGCCATTAACGTTACTGATCAGCTCCGTCAGTGACGCTGTCTGTTTGGGACTAACAGGAGGACGAACGTGGGACCTATTTATCTTTGTTGGGGACTTCCAAGCTAATTTTTTTTTTTTAGGGACTTCAACGGGTACCGAGTTTTTTGTCAGGGACCAAAATGAGTATTTACTCTCTCTCTCTCTCTCTTTTTTTGTAAAAAGTGGCGTTATGGTCATTGTTCCCATCTTGTGAGGGTTGATCTCACACTTAGTTTATTTTTTATTATAAATTACTTCTTATTTAGTTTTTAAAAATTCATTGCTGAAGTGATACGATAAAATTATCATAAAATTGTAAAGATAAAAATTTCTAGATAAATTATTAAATTTTATATAAAAAGTGAATAAGATGAATTCTGGTAATGATTTGGATTGCATTATTTTAGGATTTACAAATTAAGAAAGGAAGATATAAAATATTTTTTTTCGTAATCAAAATAAATTTTGTTTAAGATATCCTTTTTAATTTGAAAGAGAGAAGTTAATTTGATAAAATGTCATGGAGAATTTTATTTTTTGAAATAACATATCATACTTATTGTATCTACTCTTTTTTAATACCGTTAGATCATAATCTTAATTGACTTTCACTAAGAGTGTAAATAGGGCAGGTTAGGTCAGACTTTGGCTTTAATAACCTAAGTCTATATAAAATGTTTAGAAAGGCTTGATTTATAAATTTGGCTTGACCTATTATAAAAAACTAAAGAGTCTAACACGTTCTGCAAGGCCTACCAAGTTGCAAATCGAAGTTTATAGGCCCAAATCAAACTGAAATATAAAATTTAAAATTTTTTATTCACAAAAATTATATGGAATAATATTTCATTAACAACACATGAAAGAATATTCATAAAGATCACATGAAAATTTCATATATGTATATACATATAATTTGCACTTTCTTTACTAATTTAATTTAGGATTTAGTATTTGTCCTTTTAAAGAACATAGAGTTATATCATTTTAAGTAAAAGAAAAACACAAGCAATGAAAATCATGGGAGAGAAAGTAAGTGACTTTTTTAATTTAAATTTTAAATAAAATAATACTAGGTTGTGTCTTTCTCTCACTTAAAATTGACATAACTGTATGTCATTTAAAAGAATAAATATTTTTCCTTCAATTTAATATTCTATTTTAAAATTTAAATAAACATTTATTATTTATTAAAATAAATTCAATAATATCAGACATTTTAAAGTGAGTCTATGGCCTTATTTTCAAATAATTTTTTTTTTCTAAAAACCTAAATCTGCTCTATTTAAAAATAGAGTAAGCCATATCAGATCTAAGATAGGCCAGACTATAGGCCTCTGATAGGAATAAATCTTTGGTACTACTGCTCAGTGCATCTCATCAATGAGAGCATTACACATCAGAGGAGAGAGAAAAAATTTGACAGAAAAAAAAGAATTTTAATTGACTGTAATATTTTCATTGATGGGATGCACTGAATCTTTGGTACAACAGTAGTACCAAAGATTTATTCCCCTGATAGGTCTTCTAGCTCATTTACACCCCTAACATTTACCATTTCTCTTTCTTGATATTGTGATCTAATATAAAAAGGGTGATTATATTGCCTAACTATTTAATCTTCCTCTCTTTACAATATTTTTATTATTATTGGATTGAATTTAAATCAAAAGTTGAAAAAGAAAGAAAAAATAAATGTAATTTGTTTTTTTTTTTTTTTTTTCTTCAAAAAAAATTTAGAGAAAAAATGCTGATCCAACAGTGATTATAGAAGTAGTGAAATGGTAGTGAAAATAAGTGGAAATGTCCATCTTATTTTTATTAAGGGTTTAATATTTCTTACTAGAGATAAAATTATTTCTTGTTATACTAAAACATCATTTTGAGGTTGGAAAAATAATAACAATAAAGATTAATATAATTTTAGAATAAATTAGAATTATAAAAATATTTTTCTCAAATGAGGTCATTTTGGGAGACATAGCCATGAGTACCATCATTTTCCAACCTGACATCCGCGCGTTGGAGATTGTTACAGGCACATACAAGACCTTCAGTCTCAAATTGAATACTATAAGGCAGAGCGGATCATAGGAGATAACTTTGTTGGAAGTATTTAAGTGTGAGTAGTCATAAAATTTCATATTGATTAAACATAGACCAAGTGATGATCATATTAGTGTAAAAGACTCGGGGACCTACAATCTTAAACATAGACCAAGTGATGATCATATTAGTCCACTTATTACGATTTTGTCAGTTGATTTTGAGCTCCTCGGTTACCATTCTTGACAAAATTACCTCCAATAGGAAAAAAATTTAAATCTTTTTAATCAATAGAAAAAGAGCTTAGTGGGATAAAAGCTCAGACCCATTGGCAACTTGCGTTATCAAGAGGATGATAATATGAATTTAAACTATGATCACATGACACATAATAGTTCTTCCAATCATAGTTGTAAAACCCGATCCGATCCGAACGGGTTGACCCGGAACCTGGCGACCCGGTCATTGGATCGATTCGGGTCAAGAATTGGACCGGTCATGCATCGATCCGGTCAAAACCAGTGACCCGATCGGGTCATACATTTAAAAAAAACTAAAAAATCAAAATTGTTTCATCTTGTCAAAAAAATATATGTAAAACTCATTTTAAAAACTTTTTGTAATTTTATTTGTTAGTATACTCTTCTACGACGACCTCAGATGATTTTAACTTTCAATACTGAAGTAATTTACGGAATAATAAAATAAGAGAATGTGACATATGTCATTTTTAATGTAGTTGAATTTGAAAAATATGAGTTTAATTTCATTGAGAGGTATGTTTATGAGGATTTTGAGTTGCAATTTAATTTGACATAGTAACAGCATGCATTTTTCATGTTTTTGAACTTATTTAATGAACTTTATTTAATTCATTTTAGATATGGAGAATATAATTGAATTTATATGTTCATATTTATATATATTTTTATATATCTATATATATCTGGGTCAACCGGTCCGACTAGTGACACACCGGTCCGACCAGTGATCTAATAACTCAGTACCCCGACCGAGTCGATGCGCAGGTCGGGTTTGATAACCCTGCTTCCAATCACCAATGCTTACAAAATGTCGTGGCAGTACTATTTTTGTTAGAAATTGTTTTTTGAAAAATTAAATTAAAGCTAAGAAGTTGTTGCAGCAACATACCATTAAAAAAAAATCAGCAACATGGTTCTACCCTATAAGAAAAAAACAGCACGCCAATGCTGTAAAACTTGGATCCATTGAGAAAATCTATAAAAGCAGCTTTACCTCACAATAAAGTACAAGCTATTGTGGGAATACTCTAACTAGTTCAAAAAGATATTGAATTTGTAGGAGTAAACAAAGTTGCGGCTCCTTTCTGATCAGGATTGAATTTATTGGATGCATTAACCTCCCTTCTCTTACTGACTTGTCTGTTATAAATAAACTAGCTTCAGGATCACTGCATAACCGAGTAAAAAATGTTATGAGTTGATAAACACAGGACATATGATTAATCACAAGTTATATCATCATGGATGTTTGCATTTTGTATGGAGTGATCGAATGATTAATCACACAAGGACAAGAAAAATTCAATAAAAGAATTTGTCAAAATTTTTAAGGATGATGATTATTGGATGAGATGGTGGGAATTACTCATCCATCTAAATCACTCATAAAACAAAAATCAGACTAGTATGAAAATTAAGAACTTATTTACAAACCTTAGGCTGAATTAAAGTTTTCTACTGTCGTCTGAATTCATTTCTCTGATCAAGTCAAGAATAGGCTTTTGATCATAGCCATAGTCAAAGCAATCTTTGTTCTTGTCCTCTAATGACAAGGGCGACAATGGTAACTGCACTTGTGAATGTAATGGCACTTGTGGAAAGTAGTAATGGTGACCAGAAGTAGCAGCATTCAAATTAACTGATTGATCTGCATTAGCAGTTGAATGATAAACAACATCTTGAATCTGTGCCGGTTGAGGATGAGCCTGTGCTCTGCAAAAATCAAGGTGTTGAAGGACAAGCTGAAGCTCAGCCTTATAGTATTCAATTTGAGACTGAAGGTGTTGTATGTGCCTGTAACAACCTCCGACAGGGTCAGTGGCGCGGATGTCAGATTGGAAAATGATGGTATTCATGGCTATGTCTCTGTCCTTAGTGTCGAGTGGCTCGATGATGTTCTTAATTTTGCCAACACCAAATAATTTATGTGCGTTCAAAAATTGCCTTTGGTGATCGTGAGGAAAATATGGTGCGAGAATGCAGTCGGGTCCACACTTCCTGCGTTGGTATTTACAAGCAGAGCAAGCTTGTGATATGCTGCCGTTCATGCTTTAAATAAATTAGGTGACATAGCTCTCTCGCGTCTCCTCCGCCTATGCTTTTTCTGCGCTTTCTCTCCCCGTTATTTTCTTCTTCTTTTTTTGTATATATCTCCCCGTTATTTTCTTGTGGCCTAAGTAAAAAAAAAAAAAAAAAAAAGATAGTTTCATATAAATTAGGGGAGGTATTAATAGAAATCATATCCCAACAAATTCAGTTATTTGAAACAATATTTTTAGATACTTTAAAATTATTAAATAACGGGATATGATCCTTTCATACTAGTGTCAAATTAAAAAATTTGATATCAAATTCTAACAATTGATTTCCATTAATCTAACGGTTATAATTTATTAAGAATTTATAATATTTAATAAATGTGACTGAATAAATTATAACCGTTAGATTTACAAAATCAACGATTAAGATTTAATATCAAACTTTTTAATTTGACACCGATATCAAAGCATCCCATCCATAAATAATTTACATAGAATAATGCAGTTTTGACAAACAAGAATGCGGAAAGATACTGTAACAACCAAGTTGTGTTACTACCATGTTACTACCAATCAATCTTACCGTTAGATCGATTACGTTGATCCAACGGTTATATTTATTTCTATCTTTGTAAGGTTATGATTCCCCATATTTAATGTGAAACTATTAAATATGAGAAATCATAGCCATACAAAGGGGGAATAAATATAAAATATTAAATTTAGAAAATCATGATCATACAAAGATGAAAATAAATATAATCGTTGAATCAACATAATCAATCTAACGGTGAGATTGAGTGGTGATAACTTTACAATATCCATCCCCAACAAGAATACGTATGTTGTTTGAAAATCCAGTCCAAATCTAATATCAATATATGCCGTTTATTGTTTGAACAACCCATTTGATAAGGATCAAATTAATATCTTTTAAATTTTAAACGAGAATCTTAGGCGAAAAAGAAAGAAGAAATTAAAAAAAAAAAAAAAATCAATACCATAATAGCCACGGGTAAGCCAAGTGCTCTGAAACCCATGACATTGTATTGATTAGGGATGTTCATCAATCGATTCAAACCGCGTTAACCGAACCGAAAAATCAATAACCAAATAAACCGAAAATCAAAAAATCGAAAACCGAAAAAAACCCACAAATTTTAATTGGATTGGATCGGTTTTCAGATTAGTAGATGAAAACTGATCCAATATATTAATTTTCCTCTACTTACTTGGATTTTTTCCCAATCATAGCCCAAAATTTTCTAAACCCAAGACCCATTAACTCATCAAATAAACCCAAGAAAAAAATCTAGTCACATCTCATTAACAAAATTTTATCTATGTAGAGCTTCATATTTAATTATCCAAAAAATAATAATTATATTATCGTTTACTTATGCTTTTGTATTTAAAAAAAAAATTACAAAGCCAATATATACAAAAGATGTTATTTGCACAATAATCATGAAATAAATTTTAAGATTTTCAAAAACCGAAAACCAATCCAATCCAAACCAAAAAAAATTGGATCGGATCGGATTTGAAAAAAAATTCAAACCGAATGGATGATTGCATAATCAAACCGAAGAGATTGGATCGGATGACTTTTACTTCCAAAATCGATCCAATCCAGACCGCGAACACCCTAGTATTAATATCATTGGACTTAATGTTTATCATTAAGTACACCAGTATAACTGACAGTGTTCTGATCGAATTATCTAGATAAGATGAAGCGAGGATTCAGGATTTTTTCTGGTATAGTTGAAGATCATACAGGGCAGCTCCTTCGTATGTTTTGAAGGGCAACAAATTGTGGTGCGCATCTTATAATGCCACTTTTTTTAAATTTTCTTTTTACCTAACTGTCACACAGTAAAATGTGCCACATCTGTTATCAAAAAAAAAAAAATGTGCCACATCAACAAACAAAGTTAGCTAGCCGCTGTAACGCATTTACATGCGTGACACTTTGACAAATTTTACTGTTCATATGACAGTTGGATTATTTTATTTTATTTTTATAAAAAGCGGCATTATGATAATTGTTCTTCAGTATTGATCTCACCCTTAGTTTATTTTTTATGATAAATTATTTTTTATTGAATTTTTAAATATTCATTACTGGAGTGATACAATAAAATTATCATAAAATTGTAAAGATAAAAAAATTCAAGATAAAATATTAAATTTTATATAAAAAGTGAATAAGATGAATTCTGATAATGATTTGAATTCCATAATTTTAGGATTTAAAAATTAAGAAAGGAAGATAGAAAATATTTTTTTTCGTAATCAAAATAAATTTTGATTAAGATATCCTTTTTAGTTTGAAAGAGAGAAGTTAATTTGATAAAATGTCTTCGGAGAATTTATTTTTTGAAATAACATATTATATCTATTGTATCTACTTCTTTTCAATACTGTTATATCACAATCTCAATTAACCTTCGTTAGGAGTGTAAATTAATCAGGTTAGGTTAGCTTTTGGCTTTGATAACTTAAGTTTATCTAAATATTTAGAGCTTATACTTGCCTATTACCTTTTCTTTTTTTTTGGTTGAATGCCTATTAAAAACTGAAGCATCTTTCGAAAAATAGATTTAGTACTAAAATTTATGAATTTTTCATTCACATGATTCTATAAAATTAAGGTTTGATTTTATTTTATTTTCAAAATATAATAACCTTAAAAATAAGATTTTCGTGATAATAATATTGAGATTTTTCTTTTAACCAGATTTGAAAACTGTCAGTTCTTCTTCTATATGCATTCCAAATAATTTAACTTAGACTTAAACAAATTAATTGAATATATTCTTAGATTTATATTATACGAAACTTGCTTGATTTGAGAAGTATTAAATTATAAAAAGTAATTTTTGTTTTTCTATATTTATAAAATTTTAAAAGGAAAGACAAACACAAAATATTTTTTACTTGATATTGTGAAACTTTTAACTAAGAGGATTGATTTTCACTTTTATATTGGGTCTCGTCAAAATTTTAACATACATGTCATAATTCTTTTTTTTTTTTGGTGAATTATACATGTCATAATTCTTTGTACAATAGATGTTACGCATAAAACATTACTGTAAAAAAAAACCACTAAAATTGGAATTCTTGTTGTTATTCCATTATCAATCATTTCAAATTTCATTAACTGAAGATCAATATCTTATCACATATTTAAAGTCTTTAAATTACAAATTTATTACAAATAATTTAATACTCAAAATCTTAATAAATATCTATTAACATGAATAAAAAAAAATTAAATCTTATTTTTTATTTTATTTTTGTAACTCCATGAATTCCATAAGCGTTAATGTAATTTATTTTGCGAGACAATAACAAATTAGAACTTATGCCACAAAAGATAAATGATATTTTGGTGAATTGAAGACCCGTGTCAATAAATTTTGTTCCTTTTCTCGTTATAAAAGAAAATGTCCCTAAAAGACAAGCTAGTTTTGAGACCGAATTTAGAGAAGCTTATCTCACCAACACAAACTAGTTTTGTCCCTAAAAGACACATTCAAGACAATATTGTGATTGTAGAGGAGCTTATACATAGTATGCATCGAATGAGAGGAAGAAAAGCTTATATGGCAGTTAAGATAGATTTGGAAAAAGCTTATGATAGACTCAATTGGAATTTCATACATCATATCCTTAAGGAAGCTCAAATCCCAGGAAAACTTATTGACATAATAATGGAGTCAGTGAAATCAACCACAATTAATATTTTTTGGAATGGAGGGATGACCTAGGAATTTCATCCAACTAGAGGTATTCGTCAAGGTGACCCTATTTCACCATATCTCTTTGTTTTGGGAATGGAAAAATTGTCCCATATTATAGAGACTGCTGTCAGAGGGAACCTTTGGTTGCCTATTAGAGCTGGTAAGGAGGGGCCGTTAATTTCGCATCTCAATTTTGCTGATGATTTAGTTTTGTTTGCGGAAGCGAAGGAAGACCAGATCCAGAATATGATGCAATGCCTAAGGTTATTTAAAGAAACACCAGGTCTTAAAACTAATATGCAGAAAAGTAGTATATTCTTCTTAAAAAATACACAGGAAGAGTTAGCATTGAGAATTACAGATCAGTGTGGATTCAAAAGAGTGAAAAATGTTGGAAGATATTTGGGGGCTTGGATGCAACATGGCAGAGTGACTAAACAACATTATGGAGATATTATAGACAGAGTCAAGTAAAGACTATCTGGTTGGCAAGCAAAATGTCTCTCACAGGCGGGGAGGGTTACCTTTACACAATCGATGTTGGCCACTGTACCTTCATTCCAAATGCAATGTGGTAAACTGCCTATTGGTGTGTGTAACGAGCTGGAGAAATTACAAAGGAGATTTATATGGGGTGATAAGGATGGAGAGAAAAAAATGCACTTGGTAAACTGGGATACTTTGACCACACCGAAGTTTGATGGGGGTTTGGGGTTAAAAAAAATAGCATTATTTAATGATGCTTTTTTTTGGCTAAAATGGCATGGAATATTTTTACTAACCCCCAAACGTTGTGGGCAAAATTACAAAGGGCCAAATATGCTGGAAACAGAGAAGGTATGGAGATATTTGCATATAAAGCTGGGGACTCTATTATGGAAAAACATCTTTTTAATGTGGAAAAAAAATGGAAGATCATGCAAGGTGGGAGATAGAAAATGGAAATAGTGTTATGTTTTAGCAAGACAAATGGGCAACCAGTAATAGCAGACTCATGGACAGATCTTTGATGCCAATACCATGGGAAGAAGCAGCAAAAAAGGTAGCTGAATATGTTAATGAAAATGGTGAATGGAAAATTGAAGAGTTATCTAGGTGGCTTCCTTATGAGAAAATTCAAACAATTCAAAGCCATCTTCCCCCCAATAAGTTAGATGGCCCTGATCAGTTAAAGTGGAACATTCATAGTAAAGGGATTGTCTCAGTGAGTGGCATTTACAAGCTGCTAGATAATCACACATCGTCCACAAGTGAGAGAGCTGATGTTTGGAAAGATATATGGAAATGGAAAGGCTCACAGAGAATCAAACTGTTTTTGTGGAAAGTAGCCCATGGTAAGCTTCCAACAAAAGAGAGAATGCCAAGCTTGAATCTGGGAGGTCCGATGTGTATTATGTGTAATAATGGAGATGAAACTTTAATGCATTCATTGAGAGACTGCTATTTTGCTAGGAAGTTATGGGATGGTTTGGCAGCTAGCACGGTTTGCATCAATTTTTTAACATCAGATGAGCAAGAGTGGACCATGTCCAACTTGAAAGTAAACACTGAAGTTATAAGAGGCATTCCTTGGCATACAATTTTTGCGGTGGTTGTTTGAAAATTTTGGCAATGGAGAAATGAAAGGCTTCATGGAGTCCAAGGGAATCCATATGCATACAACCTGAATAGTATAATTACGTATACTGAGGAGGTATGGATAGTTGCTAATAGGAAAGAGAATGGCGTAGAGCATGGAACAAAAGAGGAGATCTTAATTCATTGGAAATTTCCTGAAATGGGGTGGGCCAAAGTTAACACTGATGGAGCGATCAAAGGAAATCCGGGAATGGCAGCGTGTGGGGGAGTGATTAGAGATTGTTCTGGTAAGTGATTGAATGGATTCTCTTACCGGATTGGTGTTTGTAATGCTAATGTGGCAGAACTATGGAGAATTTTAAAAGGGATGGAAATGGCATGGGAAGTAAGTTGGAGAAAAGTTATCATTGAAAGTGATTCTGAAGTAGCAATCACGTGGCTCACCCAGATAGGAGAGCCAGCCTCTGAGTCTCATATTGTGACTCGTATATGGGCATGGATGGACAAAGATTGGACAGTGAAGTTAAATCACACATATAGATAAGGGAATTGCTGTGCAGATTGACTCTCTAATCTCCCATTTGAAAATCTAGATCAAGAGGATTTCTGCTCTTTTTCAGATCCCCTAGTGGGATTTATTTACTGTATTTAACTGATTTAAGTGATTTGGGTAGAACTCGTTGTATTTCTTCTTGTTAGCCCGTCTGGGGTCATTCCCCATATTGGATACCCAAAAAAAATGTCTTCTTGGGATACCAAAAAAAATGTCTTCTTGAATGAATGTATTATGCACTGACTTTAATTGGAAAAGTACTATATATATAATAACGTTATGCCATAACTTATACTAAATATAAACCACAACTCTCTACCTTATATTTTAATTCGATTTCCAAGAACAATCTTCCATACATTTTCAAAGGTCAGCATAATTTTATGATACGATATTACATCTGATGGACATTCAACTGACTATAGCCGCATGTAAAGTCTGACCCATCAACTGTGTGTACCAAAAGTTCAGGGTCTGGATGTTCCAACTCGAGTATTACCTGTACACAAGAGTGTTGAATCAAGTCGTGATTCTCAATGATATTTCCACAATAATGAAGTTAGCTTAAATCTTAGAGAAAATTCGAGTTAATTTGCCAAAAAAAAAAAAATTCAAGTTATTAGACCACAACTAGAAACAGTTGGACATTAGTATTAGAAGTGATAGGGTGTAGAATTAGGACCTTCCTTTTTAAGTTGAGTATGTTAAGGGATGATAACTTAAGATAGATAAATTTATATTACATATACAATAATAAATGACAGAGACAAATAATAACTATTGCGAAGTCATACCAAAAAATTATCTCCTTGCCTAAGGACTGGAGCAGGAACGTAGAGGTTGCACTGTGGTCCTCTCAACTGTTAAAAAACCATAAATCAATATCTGAAAGGAAAAACAATCATATATAGAGAACTAACTATTAAATCATGCAACACAATCACAACTATAATTCGATCAAGAGGGATAGAAGACTTTTTTACAGGCCAATATCTTCCTAGGTTGAAGTCATTAACAAAAGCAATTCCTTTTCCCCAATTTTTGAATGATATAAACGTATCCTTGATCTGACTTGATTTATCAATGAAGAAATCGCCAGAATAAAAAGCAGGTTCTGTTGAAGTATTCTCTGCAAAAGGAAAAGAAAAAAGAAAAGAAACACATTGGTTACAGATTTACATCATTGATTCAAAATCCCGTGAAGTGATGATTGAGCATAATGAGATAAGAAAGAGCATTGATAAGAAAAGGTATTATGTTTTTATTTCCACACCAGACTTATAAACCAATCTTTTTGTGGATGCTGATACTTCATTGAATGCAGAATATGCAGCCTTCTTGATAGGATTATAAGTTTGCACTTCATTCAGGTTGTGCAAAGGAACAGGGTACATTTTCCATCCATGTACACTTTTCCCGTCCAGATAAACAGAGGACAGAATGCCCTGTAGAAGTTATGACAAAGTCAAAGAACAGCCAATCACGATCAAACTCTACAAGTAGCATCATCATCATCATCATCATCATCATCATCTTCAAATGACTTTTACCTTGCTATCAAAGATGAAAGGCCCGTAATTTACACGACCCATGTTTTCAACCTACAAAAAGAGTGGGGGAGGTGAAAACATTCAATTAAATCCCATAAAATATTAAAAGCTTAAGGAAACTCTTCAGAAGTTTATTGATGCCATCTTAATCTATATAAACGCATTGCCTTCATAATCATAATTAACCAACTATATTACTAAATTAAGCAGTTAATTAATAAATGATGTCAACTTACACGAACAATATAAAATATGCCAGTACAGTTCAGCAACTAACTTCTGATATTACCTATGCTATAAAAAACCACTCCCCGTTACACCCGACTAGCGAGTGTAGGGTGGAGTATGCAACCTTACCCTTGCATAGTTGCAAAGAGGCTGTTTTCTGGATTCGAACTCATGACCTTTCAGTTATGAAGGAACAGTTTACCTATGCTATCAGACACAATATTTAATTCACATGATTTGGGATTTACTTTAGGAATAGAAAGGATAAACATAATTATATTACTTATTTATCTTATCTTCTTTGAGTAAATGTCAAGTAACAAGAGTTATGCTCTATGTACGATGCAAACTAAAGTTAAAATAGCCAATAATTATGATAATTCTTTGGTACTCCCTAATCCCCACAAAGAAGGACGTGGATTCCCACCGGTGAAACAATAAAAAAAAAAAATTAAAACTCGCTTTATCCAAGACATAAGCAGCTCAATTGAAAAACCCCAAAATATTTTTCTATGTACCAAAAAAAGAATACATGAATAAAGCAGGTATATACCAGAATAAGTAAGTTGATGTTAGAATGGCATTTAAATTCAGGAAGGCTGAGTTTGTTATTTGACCATCTTTCCAAGGTACCAACATAAGTTGGCCTTGAATCACTCTCTTCAGAAGGGCATGAGATAAATACTTGAGCTCTGTCATGCAACTGCACATTCATAATTCATAACATTTAGAGAAGCTATATTCTTCTAGACAGACGAGACATTCTGCAAACTTTCTAGCTATTGGGTAATAGAAATAAGATGATAGTATCTGAAGAAAATAGCTGGAATACAACAGAATGAGAATTAAGGACAGAATCTAAATTGCACCTTTGGTATGAACAAAATACTTCCGCCTCTCTTTGCTTTGTATTCAGTAACGTACAATAAAAAACCAAACAACTGGACAAAAAGGCATTAAAGCTTCAATAATATATCGCTTTGGAATCTTGCAACAGTATGAACAGTAATCACATACCTGGCCCACATACTCCATTGACATTGGATTTTCAGATTCAAACACATTGGTGGAACTGGTGAAATCAAACATGTCAAATAAGAAAGCTTTTCTTTGTAAGTGAATTGATCCGTAACTAGTCTTTCCATTACTAGGAGGAACAGATGGAAGAGGTACTGAGCTATATCGGGCTATAACCCTTCGAATAGCTGAAACATATACATCAAGTTAAGACTTTTGTTTGGCAAAATTTAACAAATAATAATAATAATAAAACAGAAGGGGAAAAGAATATTAGGTTGGGTCAATGAAAAATATTCTGCAATGACTAATTTACAACTGAACATATCATATTATATGCCAGTACAGAAGTGATTAAAGCAGTAAACATTATAGATCGTAAAGTTCCTCATAAGTCTGATTCATAAAAAGCATAACTCAGTTGAATACTGGCTTGTCCAGTCCCTGTTTAATGTGGAATGCTCCTGTTTCTTTACATGAACACCCAAAATATAACAAATATTATATTTTCTTTTCCCAAGAGGATAATAGGAATATCTTAAGTCCAAAAGCCTAAGTTACACAGGGTGTGGCATAGAAACCTCGACCAAGCTTAAAACAAGAAAATAAGCATGAAATAAATATAGCAATGCATATAAAGTAAAAAGATGTAATTTTAAGTTGAAAATTGTTTGTTAATTTTAGTTTTTCTTCCCGCTTGTCATTCAATTTTAGAACTACAGTTATTTAGGACTGAAAGTCACAAAACTTACCTGTATCCGTGATACCATTTTCTTTTGTCTCACTACATTATATATGCAGCTCCTACAGGTGCTGGATTCATTGCATTCTCATATGCGCATAGCTTTTTCAAACTTCTTGCAGTTATAATGCTAATACCCTTATTTAAAGCTTTCAATTTAAGTTGAACTGTGCAATAATGTGGTTCAAGGACTCATTGGACCCTAGTACGGTGGAGCAATGGAGAGTAGTGCATGACTGCTAGAAGTGAATGGCTTCGGTAGGGGAAAAATCCCTTTCTTAGAAGAAGGCATGCATATAATCGGAATGCCCTCAGCAGGGGAGAACTCAGAAATGGTAATCCAGCTAGTGCTATTTAGACTTGGAGTTTCTATTTGACTCAATTACTTTTGCTCTTATAGTATGAAAAAGTGCTTTGGACTAGGGATTCGTAAATAGTCACAAAAAAAGAAATTTATTAAAAATGTAAGTATCAACTAACTCTAAAGTACAGAATCACAACTTGAAAATGAGAGAGAACACAACATCCATACCATTGAATTTTGAATTGTCAACATCACCAGCTTCCGTAATTGGTGCATCCTAGATATGAGATAGTCAATCCAGTTTGTAATATGCATACAACAATTCACAAACGAAGGTGCAACATGTGGGTTAAAAGATTCCTTACATAATCATATGAAGTGAGATCAGGCTGGTAGTCAGCCTCGTCTGCATGAGTATTTGCTCCATTATAAAATCCAAAGTTTGTCCCACCATGCCCCATCTGAAATTTAGAAAACCCAAAACAAAAGGATTATTCAAAATGCAATTTGCACACAGTACAGGGGTGGAGGTTGAGGCCTACATAGAGGACTGCAGAACCATTTTTCCGCAAAATTTCTTCAAGAGCAGCTGCTGTAAGCTCAGCATCAGTCCTCGCAAATTTTTCTCCCCAGTGTGTAAGCCACCCAGTGTAGAATTCGCTGATATGACGAGCACTTTGAGTATTTAGCATTTGATAAACAAAAATAATATTCCATAGGAGTGCACTTACGTGTTCAATGGTGGTGATTTTCCTGGGGCATTGAACTCCTTTTGTAACTTGAATATCGCCCAAGTGTCAGAGCCAGGACCGAAGTCAACAGCTACAAAAAGAGAATATATGTATTAGGTTATATGATCAAAGGTTAATGATATGTGATAAGTGTCAAAGACACTATGTTTTTAAGATCAAAAATAGATTAAATAATGATGAATATGATCAAGAATATAGTGATAATTAATGAATGCAAAAGATTATAGGGTTCTAATATTTGGGCACGATTCTGACTTCTTTTTATATTGTTTTCAGGTTTAAAATGCTAAATCACATTTCAACCAAAAAAAAAAATGCTAAATCACAACATTGATGGGTCAAGGAAGCCGGGAGAAATCAAGACTCAACTCAAGGAAGAGCTGAAGTAGTGATATTTCAAGAATGAAGTAGTCATTTAGTGAAAATATTCCTAAAGTTATCTTCCAACCAATTTCTAGTATCCAAGATGATGAATTTGGATCTCGTGCTCTTCATAGAAGTTGTAGATCCTTCTTTTATCTTTCCAATGAGACCAAGATCACATCAATTGGACAAGTACAACCGACATGCCCAAAATACAAAACTAGCACAATAACTTGCTGAATAAGCTCGTTATAGCGAGCAGTTAGTGAGAAGTGACATTTATCTCGCTAGAAATAACTCACTATAGCGAACATTTAGCGAGCAGTTCAAAACCAGAAGGCCACTGACTTTTTTCATTAAAAAGGGGCGTCTAGGGTTAATTTTATTCATTCTTGGGCGGCCAGAGCAATCTTGGGGAGGCAGAGGAGCGTTCTTTTAGAGAAGAAGAAGAAGAAGAAAAGCTTCAAGATTTCATCACCGTTCTTTAATCACTAAGTTTTCTATGACTCTTAATTATTCTTCATCTATTGTCATTGTTTTCATGAACATGTTAGGCTACTTTTCTTTATGTGGATAGGGTGAGATGGAACCAATGGGTTCCTAACACTGTTTATGTTTTCTTGTAATTGATATTCATGATTGATTTATGCAATTAATCTGTTTTAATTTTTAAAGTTCGTTTGTGATCTGACCAATTGCGAATGGACACTAGAGTCTTGTATGACAATAGGAATATTGACGTCTGGATTCCGATTGATTAATTGCTACGGTTTGTATGATCTAGGCATAGGTTTACAAATTCTATGACTATATGGTTCTTGTTTTTAATGCTTGCTCTAAGGCAAATTTCTAAGGCATTAGGATTTTGAATAAAGTAAAGGATTAAATCACCAAGGGATTGGGAGGTTTAATTAATTTTAAAGAACCGTCAGTAACTCGATTTTGAATATTGATTGCATAAAAGGGTAGATTTATTAGAAAAACGTTAGGGAAATTGAATCCCTAGGTACGCTCTTGCATATTAAATTTCAACTCGTTGTTATTCCGTTCTTATCTGCATTCTTGTTCTCAATCTTGAAAATCAAAAATATTGTTTTAAATTTCTGTTTTTACTAAATCAACATCATATTCTCAAGAACTCCCAAGATTGATCTAACTTTGGTTATATAAGTAAGTTATTGTTTGATAAATCAATCCTCATGGGAACGACAACCCACTCTTTTCACTATATTACTTTTGTACGACCGGTGCACTTGTCGAAATCGTAACAATATGTATGTGGAGCATACTAATGAGAATAATATGTAATTACAGTTAAAATAGATGGATTCACTTATTGCCATCAACTCATGCAAACCATCCCCACCCCCACCCAAAAAAAAAGGGTCAAAATCCAGATTTATGAATAAAATTGTTATTAATTATGGTAAAGTATTACATTTTGTTTTATGAATTAGACTTGTTATTAATTGGAAATGGTATACAGATGTTTATACTGATTTAAGTATTCATACTTTATTTTTTATGAGTTTATACTAACGTATCCTGGCATATTATATCTCATATTTTGAATATTTTCCTTATTCAAGTATCTTTATACGGAGGGAGGGAGAGAAAGAGGAGGATAAGATAAATATTTGTAAAACCTTATAGTTAACCATTTACGCTACTGGAATTTCACCTGAAAAGACAGCATCTCCTCGAATAGTTCCCTTCTCAAGTAATTCCCTGGTCTCTCCATCTGTAGTATATCTGTAAACAGTGAACATAAGGAAAATAATAACAAAAGAAGGAGATCTTCCTCAGACAAACCTAGATATCACACCTTTCCATTATCACTTTTAAATTTAGGATTTTTAGTACATACAAATAGAAGCTCAAAAAGTTGAAAAGCTAGTAACCAATCCTTCCCGTAATCTATAATATCCCTAACCTGTTTAATTAAAAAATTGCATGTGATTAAATAATTAATCATGCATTATGGGGTTTAATTAAGTAAAAGACTTTTTACCAAAAAAAAAAAAAGTAAAAGACTTAATTAAACGAATTCAAGTCACTTTGGAGTAAAAGGTGTAGCCAGTGAGATTTTTGGGGTAAAAATATGTGTAAGCAAAATTACCCGGAATGTAAAAGTAAAGTTCGGAATAGGAAGGTAAAAATATCCCTGACCAATGGATAAAGTTGGAAGGAGAATAGAGTTAACTAGATAGATAAGTTTTTACCCAGTTGGAATTTATTTACTTTAGTTAAGTGTTAAAATACCCAAACTCTTCCCATTCTTCCTTCTTCTTCGTCGGGCAAAATAGAGAGGGAGGAAGAGAGAACCAATTTTGAAGCTCAAACTCTAACTTCCTCATTTCTCCATCAAATCCATCCATTCCAAAGCCAATCTAGCCTCAAATTTCATCCTCTTCAAAATCTACCACTCCATTTTAGTTGGGAACCATTGTGGAGGGAGATTTTGGCTTTGTGTGGGGGCGAAAATATGGACATTGGAGAAGCTAGAGGTGAAGCCTTGCCTTCTTGTTGCTTGGTACCTCTTCCTTGGACCCTTATGGTGGTGTTGTGGTAAGCATTTCCACCCTTCTTGTTGTTTTAATGAGATTCACACTTAAGGTTCCATATTGAAAATATTGAAAATGTGACTTGAGTTAGTATAGTTGGAGTTTGATTGAGGCTTAGTTCCTTTGTAAATGTTGTTAGGAGTGATAAATAATCGGTAGAAATGAGTTTAGATAGTCATTTGGATTACTTTCAATATTTTGGAAAATTATGCTTGGAGTTGTGAGATTCTTGCATTGTAAGCCATGGTTTGGTTGAATGATTGATTGTGTCCATATGGTTGCTAGGATTGAGGCAAGTTGACCAACAGTGAGTGACCAACCATTGGTGGAGACAATGGAACTAGATTTAGTCTACTTGAGTTGAATCAAGCATTGGTGTATATTTGGGAGATTGTAACTTGGAATTTAAGTTCGATTGATTGCAAATTGGTGGTGAACAAAAGTTGAGTTGGAAGCGAATTGAGGTAAGCCTTCGGACCTTGGGAGTTGATCTTTTTATTGTTCCACCAAGCTCTGAAAGGGTAGTGATTGTTGAAGTGTATGTAAATGCAATAGAGTGGTATAATGCCTTGTTATATGTATGTGCATGTGTTGTATTTTCCACACAAGATGGTAAATTCGGAGAATGGGTAAAACCATGCATGACGGTCAAGCATGAGTGTGGGGTAAGTTGCAAGACGTTGCGTAACGCTTACTTGGTAGTTTAGCTGACCAGTAGGACTATTTACATCTGAGTATCCTTAGGACGGCAAAAGAGCTCGAGGGATGTCTTATGGAGATATTTTACACATTGCATGGATATGTATTTATTGCATTATTTACTGTTATTGCTATTATATTGTGAGTGAACTGTGGGGTGGAGAGATCCTTCAAGGACCCCTGGTTTAATGAGATATATATATATATATATATATATATATATATATATCATCCCGTGTTATGGGGCCCCCTTTCAGGTACAAGCAAGGATAATGCAGGAAGAGGCAAAAAGCATGAGTAGATTGCATTTTATAGCATGTCCTTTGATTATTTTGAAGTGCCTCACAAGTATCTAAATTTCGTTGTATCTTGCATTTTGGTAGAAAACTTTGTATAGGATGCACATTGTTGATAATAGTGAATGTACATGTCATTTTGTAGCATCATAATTAAGTGCATATTTTTGTGACTTAGCCCATGATCATTGTGATGTTAATTGTCATATGATGTATATAGGCAATGACTTTGATCATGTATTGTAATAGTTAAGTTCTTCATTTGGATGGTTGTATTTGGTATATTGAACATGATGTAATTTTATGCTAATGTATGATGAAAGGGCTTTCAAGCCTATTTTGATATCATGTGACTTGAAATGGCAAGGATTATGTATTGTGGTAGTTCTACAATGTCAATTAGGTGAAAGAAAACATTTGGGTTGAGAATCCATCTAATTATAAGAATACTCTGTCTTGTGGTCCATTTTTCATACCCCATGTGATAGAATTCGATCCCTTGGTCTTCTTGGAAGTTATAGATCTTTCTTTTAGCTTTCCAACGAGATCAAAATTGTGTCAATTAGGTTAGTATAACCCAAATTATGGGTGAAATAACAAAGTAGGTTGAAATTCCCTGTTTTGGGCGTCTATCTCGAGACCTGCGGCGCTGTTGGCGTCGTAGCATTGAAACGTGGCGCTATTAGCGCCGGGCCCCTATGGAATCAACACCGCTTTTTCTTAGAAAATTCATAACTGTAGCTACGGTAATCCAAATTGAGCGCGGTTTGAACCTATGTAAAGCTACCACATAGGGCTATAACCCTATAAAATATTAGACTCATTGGATGAGTATATAAATACTAGTTTAAGATTGAAGTTGATGCTACAATCCCGAAAGTTCAGTTTCGTTAGCTATCTTGCGAATTTAATAACTACGGCTATACTTAACCAAATGGTTATTGTAATATGTTTCCGGAAAGCCCTAGACATCTAGCTTATCATAATGAAAAGGTTAGAGTAAACGGTTAAGTGTAGTGGTCTCAGTTTAGAGAATGTTACATGGTTACAATTACGGTTTTGGTTATATTAAATACGGTTTTGTTTTTTTTTTTAAAAATGAACAATGTTTAAAGGAAAAAAGTTTATCCGTAGTTTTAATTGAACCAATGTGATTGTAACTGCGCTTAATATCATAAGTAATGTTAACGTTTCTGAGTGTACAACGGGGCGTTACATAACCCCGATAAAAAATTCAATACCTTAATCTGAACAATTTACTATCATTTAGCATTATCCGATGTATCTCAAAACTTTAAAAATGCCACTCTAAAGTGTGCATGAAGGTAAGAGAGGACTCTTACTGTCTCCATGATTGGTTCTACAAAAAACTATTTACCATCTTTTAATTCCTTGAACATTATAATATGTCTTGACATGAATTTCTATAACGTGCGCAAGACTCAACTAAATTGGTATAGTTAATCATGAAGATGCAAGAAAACTATATATTGCATAATTTTGAGATACATATCCCATCAAAAGCGGAGCAGGGCATGTATTGATGTCTTCTTGAAGAATATATTAGTGAAAGTAAGATTAAGAGATGGAAAATGAAATAAAATCTACAAAGATTCATGATGTTCATAATTATTCATTTAATTGTATTATTGAAAAGTTGTTCTTGTATGTTAGGATTAAAACTAAGGTTTTGGCTTCAATAGCTTAAAATTGGGACTACTTGGAGCTGGAATTGTTTTTATGCAATAGATTTAGGACTAGTAAAATATGCCTATATAGAGATTACCATGTAATTAGAATAGAGTTTTGACTGACTTTTTTTAATCTCTCTCCTTAGCTTCTCTGTCTATCCCACTTCACCCTCCTCTTTCTATAAGTTGTCTCTCATTTCCTCCCATTTTCCTATTTCTTATCACTATCTTACTTCTTTATTCACATTTGAAATTTTGGCAGTTAAAAACCTATGAGACTGACAGATACACATGGAGACCGAGGAGACCTTAAACCCATGATCTAACACTTTGGATGACTCTAGTCCCCCGAAGACAAGGATGTGGCACTAGAGCATTATAGCAATTAATTGGCTGAAAGATTGACCATGTATATATATAAATTCAAGAGTTTTAAAGGAATAAAATTGTACCAGAGATGCTGCTATATCTTCTACATCATATTACAGCAGGATACTTCAGTTTAAGAACAATGAAGATGTAGAATACGATTTTGAATATTTTTTCATATATTACTTTGAGACCCAAAGGGTTCCTTATATACAGATTACAACCGGTAGCTCAAGAGTTACAGTAAAAAAGAGTAATAAAGAACAGTAATCAAAGGGTCTAACAGCTAGTAGCTAATAAAAATAGGGAAAACATTTTCTCATGTCGTAGAAGAGTTGTTTTCTCCTACTAGTGACCCTTCGATTTGCGTGCAATATTTTCTTTTGCTTTTTTATTTTTTCAATAGATGTGGGTCCCACGTTAGATGTGTCTACTACATGAGAAAATTTTCTCCTACCGCATGAGAAAATCGAAACCCATAAAAATAATTCTAATACTCTAGAATATTCTATAGAAGATATAGGGTTCAAAAACAAAAAAAAATCTTACAAAATAACATCATGCCCGAGATGACCTCTAGCCATAGTAACTAGGTGATGGAGATATACTTTGTCATCTCCATAAGAACCATATTCATTTTCAATCTGTGTCAAACAATGTCATATAAGTCAATCTAAGTCTTCTTTCATGAGATAAGCAGTAAAAATTCAAGAGAGAAGAAATACATAAATCTTCAAATATACAATCATGGTAACTATAGTAATAAAGATATTCCAGCATTCAGGAATTCACAACAATAGGGGAATATCTTCATATTTAGACAAACTAACTTCCACTAAATGTTAACAAACCACATGTAATTTAAGTTTTGGAGAAACAAAACAAATAGGACAAGAGATGTTAGAATACTAGGATTCTTATTTATTTCGGAGTCTTGTGATGTTAGTGGTCTTATTGGGCTGGGCTTGTACCAGTCAAGTTCTACGTACAACATTAGTATTTGATCTTGATTATTAGTGAAAGGTATTAAGTTCTTTGTCTCTAAAACACATCATATTAATTATCCAAATGCCTCTTCTCATTTTCCATCATATTCCTATAATCTCAACAAGGCAATCCATCCATTTTTCAACTTATGTACATAGATTTCTGTTAGGGAGCCAAAGAAGATGAGGATGTATTTTAGGGAGAGTTATAGGGGATCTTTAGCTCCGCTACCACTTACTGAGTCAGCAGCACATACTCATCATTCGGTTAATATGAGAAACGGTTAGAATAAGGCTGATTTGGTGGAATTACGGGAAGCTTCTAGAGCTATACAATTCTGTGCATAAAAGGGGATCATGGAAAAGCATTAACCATCTTTGGGACTGGGACTTAGGCATTTGGGAGAGACCAGGAACTCTCGAATTCTCTTGGAATATCTTTTCCTCTTTCTTGTTATTTGACAGTTTCTTCTTCATATCTGGTACTGAAATCTTGCTCTGTTTTACTGTTCTGAGTTGAATTCCAGTTGAATCAACTATTATCAATATAATTTTCCATGTCTTCTTTTGCATCTTATAATTCTGGTTGGACCTTATCAATTTCTGTTTCTGAAGTCAGAATATACTTTCATATATTTTAAGTTTTGTAAACATCTAGTATATTAATGCCAATCAGGTAAATGCAATCAATAAATTCGACCAAAAAGCAACATACCTGAACCATTATTATAGGGCCTCCGTTGTCATACAGGAGAGGAACAAATTTTGGAAGCAGGTTACCCCACCATCTTTCAACCTTAAATGCCAAACATAATAAGTCCAAACTTCAATAATAGTAATGCATAAACAGAGAAAGACATACAACAAATGCTTACAAGCATATAGATGTTTCAGGAAAATCAAAGTTTTTAGATACAGAATCTAGAATGGCGTACAAAATTTTATCAGCTCAATAATCTTTAGGGTTTGTTTAACCTATTCCATGTAAACCACTAGAAGACATTGTTGTAATGAAGCCACAAACAAAGTTTCATCCTTTCCTTTTGGAAAATAACTAATAGATGGTTTCATAGCATAGCCTGTGACAGCAAAAGCATTAAAAAGAGCCCCCAACAAGGTTGATTCGGTGGTAAATGAGTTCACCCAACTTGCTCAATGCCTGGGTTTGAATCCCACCTATAGCTATTTGGTAAGGTGGCCAATCTTCTGCTCTATCCTGAAGTTACGCCATTCGCAGAGAAGCCTTAAGCTTTAGCTCCATCGTATACATATTTGAAGGTACTTCCAAATGGGTGTGGTTGTAAAAAGGCCCCATATTCTCTGCTGGAACTCGCAGTTCCTATGTTCTTAAGCAAAGGAAAAAAAGGGTAGTATACGCATTCAAAATTCAAACACAGTGGTGGGTGTTCAAATGAGGCAAGACTAGCCAAACTAATTTTTGGTTAGTTTGAGTCCGAATTTTGATCCTGGAGGTTGTCATTTGAAACATAACCAGTCTTAGGCTTAGTTAAGGTGTCCATAAAACAAGAGACATGCATACATCCAGGCATGCAGCTTTCACAGACACCTATATGCCTACAAAACAGGCACTAGGTTGTCTACATATGGGCAATGTTATTACATAAATAGTCATCATGATACAGCTCTGGATTTCTAGAAGGCTGAATGTGTGTAGTAATGGAGTAGAGATAATATAGAAAAGGATAGAAAATAATGAATTTTATTGATGGAAAACAAATAGCATACAAGAGACGAAATTTCCTCACAAGAAGCACTCCCCTTCAACTTAGCACTCCAAGTGTAACTAAAATTCTCTCCGAAGATGATCCTAACCAAAAGCATATTCCCTTATATAGTTGGGGAATCTAACAACTCCTAACTGCCTATCCTCTCAACTAACTAACCACCTCCTAGCTTTCTAACCATTTGGTATATTCTTTCCAGAATATCCTTTCCCTCTTAATGCTAATCTAATCCCATCTGCACTTGTAAATCGTTCAACTATCTAAATGAAATTTGCACTACTTGTTTCAATTGTCACAACTTGATTCAGCTCAATTCAATTATCTTGAGATTACATGCAACCATAATTTATTTAATTTTAAGATGTAGCAGAAGCAGGGCATGCAAGGCCTAAGAAGTCTGGCCTTAGAAGAGGTAATGACAATCTCAAGCTCCAGACTCCTTTGTTGCAACACTATCCCTTGTAGTACCAAGCACCTGCCACTACAGTTCTACACCAAAACCTTAGGCTGCTGCTATTGAGGATGCAACATTATTTCTTGGTGTCTTCTTAGAGCCTCATCAACAATCATTATCAAGCAGCAAGGGGCTGCACCCATTATAAGTCCATGGGTTGGGATGTTAAGCCCAAGAATCCTAAGGATGGCGCTGGAATGATAAAGCCAACATAATGTAATTCATAACAAGCATTGTATCACTACCAAATAAATTAGAGAATAATGCATCAACATTCTTCTTAGAAAGTCTAGATTATCATGCGGACAGTACAGAAACTGTTAAAGATTAAAAAAAAAAATCTTAAATGTTCAAAAGGGAAAAAAAAATAATTTTAACTAAAACAAGAACATGAATAATGTTGTAACATCTTTTATAATTCATATATAAAGTATATCACATTGATTATTTGGCTGCTCCAAATCCATTCACGCAAACTTTTTTATTTTATTTTTAAATAGTCTAAAGATTAATTTCTTCATATACTAGTTCATAGTCATAAACCCCGGCTCATACAGATATCCCATATAGGTTTTTCAAAAAAAAAAAAACAACAATTAAAATTAGTGGCTTGCAGGCCCAAAATAATCCACACTATAAAGTAAAGGATTTTCATACTCCTACATCAATATCTACAATCAAAAGGATGATAGGAGTAGAAATCCTACAAAAGGGATCTCCAACTACATAGCTAAGTAAACGAGTAGAGGCATAAGTGAGTCTCTGTATGGTCTTCATAAATCAAGATAAGCATTTCCCATCATGTGCCACATAGATATATCCAAACCATTGCGTACTAATCTGGAAATGTATAGTTCGAAAATGCTCAAGATTATTTCTAGATTAGTACGCAATGGTTTGGATATATCTATGTAGCACAGGATGGAAAATGCTTATCTTGATTTATGAAGACCATAAAGAGGCTCACTTATGCCTCTATTCGTTTACTTAGCTATGTAGTTGGAGATCCCTTTTGTAGGATTTCTACTCCTATCATCCTTTTGATTGTAGATATTGATGTAGGAGTATAAAAATCCATTACTTTATAGTGTGGATTATTTTGGGCCTGCAAGCCACTAATTTTAACTGTTTTTTTTTTTTTTAAAAAAAAAAAAAAACCTATATGGGATATGAGCCGGGGTTTATGACTATGAACTAGTATATGAAGAAATTAATCTTTAGACTATTTAAAAAAAAAAAATTGCGTGAATGGATTTGGAGCACCCAAATAATCAATGTGATATACTTTATATATGAATTATAAAAGATGTTACTTTTTATGGTATCAGAGACAAAAAAATGCACCATAAAGCAAGAAAAGGATGTGGGTAGCGGAGAATTTGAAAATGTTGAAAGAAAAAGTGAGAAGGGTTGCCCACTCAAGATACTTTACTGTCGTGGTCCTTCCCTTTCACCGATTTTTGATTTCTTCTGCAGTTAAATTAACAGAGACGTTTTGTATATGTAGAGAGAAGTTGTGCTTATCTTCTTATGGAGTTGCTCCACAATTTTTATACCACCTGTGTTATTCATTATTACTTGAAAAAAAATCTTCAGCCTTTATCCTTCTCCCCACATATATTTCGTTAACTTGTCATATACGTTCATCTGTATAAAACAAATGATTATTATTATTATTATTTTTATAATCAGATTATTTAATTGATTATATAATCTATTTTCACAATTTATGAAACTGTGTCTCTTGCATTTATTTTATTTATGTATCTACCTTATTATTAATCCATTTGCCATTATAATTATTTTTATTTTATTTTTTAATAATTAATCATATTTTATAATTATTCTTTTATCCAAATATTTATTTATTATTTTTATTTTATTTTATTTTTATTACTTTTTTTAAATACTTGGGTCGTTACAAATGTGACAGAATATCTAATAAAATATGGATCAATTATGAAACACAATAGGCATATTGGGGTCTACTTCCAAAATCACAAAACATTAAAGAAAAGCAGAAAGGCATATATGAAACAGAAATCTAGAAGAGAAAAACATAAAAATACAATTCTAACCACAAGATTCATGAATACGAAGAAGATAGTAGCTAGTTAAATCAACCTTATCATAAAATATAATAAGGAAAGCATGCATACCAGTTGAAGAAAAGTAGGATCAGTAGATCTTAGTTTGGGGGATGGGTTCAGGGAAGCGAACCAACCTGGGAAACCGCCCCAATCCCACTCTGAAATAAATCAATGGTAATTGTCATCATCTAGAATTCTTGATCAACATTTTCAACTAAATATCAACTCCAGTGCAGATGGCAATTGTTTGGGGTGTATAAAAGATAATATTGTATTCTAGAACAATGTCAAAGTTAGTGCACAGCATACACAAAGCCAAATGCTCTTTTGATCTCTAGATTATCTATAAAGCATAAGAAACTAAAATAATTGTGCCAAAAGATGACAATGGGACCATACAGACTTTGGATTGGCAACAAGAAACACTACCTGCTCTTGTTTAGCCATATTGTATGGGGAGAATTCACTGTTTGCCATCATGGATCAGTATAATAAATTAGACACGTCAATCAGATTTGAAAATCATCACAGCAAGATCATTAAAGTTTTTATGACAAATATATGTGCAGGATAAAGGCAAAGCAATAGAAATGAATTTCACATCTGCCATTCAAGATGTTAATTATTAAACAGAAATGCAATGTAAGCAGTAGGACAAAAACATATATAAGAAAAGTACAACTAGAAAAGGGTCTTAACTTTCTATTATTTAGATCAATCACCTTACTGGTAAAGTGAGCAATTAGGTATATAAGTTAGAGGATAGCTAACCTCCACATATGTATGGTCCGGCTCGAACCATCACAAGGAAACCATGTTTGTGACAAAGGTTGAGGAATGATTCAATGTTTGCAAAACCCTCAAAAACAAGCTCTCCCGGTGTTGGTTCATGCAGATTCCAAGGAACATATGTTTGAATCGTGTTCAAGCCCAATGCCTTGGCTTTTAACAATCTATCTTCCCAGTACTGCAAATTAGAAAAATGATATTACCAAATAAAAGCATTTAACTTGAACAAAATAAACTGCTTATGATCTCACAAAGAATAATGGGGAAATGTTTATTTATCAATCAGTGTTATCCTTATTAGGAATATTACAAGAGTTGGTGATAGCTCACACCATTTTTTTGTTCTGCTTCTGCTTTCAACACTGCAGTTATTATGACTGGTGAGAGACTAGAGAAAGAATTTGACTTCAAGCTAAACTTTTCTAAGATAAAACATACTTCCATGTCCAACAAAGTAGTCATTCCATTCCACATGTTTTCCATTTCCTATCAGTGATAAAATTGGTGAATCAATAGAAGATGCAAAATATAAACAGATCTCCATTGCCAACAATTTTTAAGTCTAAAACCTTGTTCTATCCTCATTAAGAACAAGAACAGAGGCAAGGATCTGATTTAAAGACCTCCACGGCAGAACATAGCTCATAGTTGGGGCCAAGAGAATTTTCCACCATTCCTTATGAAGGCTTGATGTGGAAAAAACTAATAAGCATATTGGCTCCTACTGACATACAAATTATCAGGTTGGCATCACCTACTAATTAACAAACAATAGTTCTATTTAAAAAAAATTAAATTGTTACTTTTCTTTTCAACTCTTGTCATATGCTATTAGCTTTTCTATAAATGAATTATTTATAGTCCCCTTTAGCATTTCATTTGTGTCCCATCACATCAAAATATGTTTGCTGTTGGTGAGTATGTGCATAAAATACCAAGATAAAACAACCAAAACCTGTTTAAAAAAGAAGCAGCAATAATGTTGCCATTGAATGTAATGCAATTATGATGTGCACTGTCCAAAATGTTAAAAATTCCTCTCACAAAACTAAGAGATGTCAGCAAGATGTATACCTCTGGATGCACTCGAAAATAATGCAGGTCACCACCAATGATCTGAAAAGGTTCACCGTCTTTCCAGAACCTATCGTTGTCAATCTCAAACTTCATGTTAACCTGATAAAAACAATCACAGGGGAGTTAAGTTAGAAAACAATGAAAAAGCTATAGTTCAAGTTATCACAAATTTGAAGACAATATTTGTATGATAACATTTTATTTTCATTTTTTCAATATTGAAACGGGCTAAGAGTTAAAAACTCTTTCACTAAAAGCCCAATATAACTTGTTCAGCAAGTACAACAATTTGTAGCAAGCAACTACAATCACTCCACGCTGAATTCTCCTGCCAATTTGGCAGCTGAAAAGAACAAATAGCTCATCGTTCTATATGCAATTTTGTACTAAAACTTGAATTGTATGGGAGATTTTGTTTTTTTTTTTTTTTTTGTCTCATTATTTTCTGTCCATTCTTCCAATTTGATTAGCATTTGGCAAACAGCTAGTTCATGTCAAATAAACAGCTAAATAATTGGCAATACCCAGAAACTGAATTCGGAAAATGGCGAAGCGTGAGGATGCTTGTAGTGAAAAAATGACTATATAAGAGAGAATAAGTGGCAGGAAAAGAGTAAAGGAGCTTACTTTCTTGTGATTAGAATGATGGGCATGGTGAGAGGGGAGAGAAGGAAGAGAAACGAAAACAGGAACAAGGGCACAGAAAACAATGAAAGAGATGAAGATCGATAAAAGGGTCGCTTTGGAGCTTCGCTTCTTCACCATCACCAACAATTTCGAAGCTGAAGCTTCTTCACTCCGATTCTCATTTATGTAGCCACAACACCAACTCAGCTACAGCAAGACAGACCAACTATACAAAACCTTTTTTTTTTATTTATATCATTTTGCTACGTCTACATAAAAAATTTATTATAATGAACAAATGAATCAAGTAACGGTAGCTAGAGGTGACAAATTGGGCGGCGCACCTTGCCCCATCACACCCCACCCCATCCCATCCCATCCCATCCAATAATTAACCCGTCAAAAAAGAAATTTATCCCGCTCTACTTTTGAGATGGTTTGAAAAACTCAACTCTCCTCATCCTGTTTAGCTGCTGATGGGGTGAGTTGGTCCACCGAGCCGAACCCGTTTTGTCAGCTCTAATCATAACAGTCACTTTGAATACTGTTGAGCTCAGATTCAGTTTAAATATGCATTGAAGGGATAAATCTTTGGTACTGTTATATCTAAGTGGATAACATTTTTTCAATTTTGAAAAAAAAGTTCAACACTTTTCAAAAAAAAAATTCTGATCACATTGCACTTTTTTCAAAAATAACAAAATATTGTATCCACTTGACTACAACAGTGATATCAAAGATTTATCCACGTTGAAGACTTGATCGCCTTAACCGTGTAAAATATTTGGCTAAATGTCTAACCTTGCTAGCGGTTACGCAATGTTGTCAAACTCGAGTTTTTACGTAGAAATTAAAAGGGTGGAAGAAACGTAAAACGTAGAAACAACACGAAAACGTAAAGTTTCAAATTTCTAATACTTAAGATCAAGATACAAAATTATATATATGCATATAAAAAAAATATCACTTAATGAATATATGTGTTGGGCCACTTATCTATCTAAAAAAGAAAATTATTTTTGATAACCAAGTATCAAAATTATAAACAGTGATGACTAACAATATAAATAACCAATATGCTTTAACTGCTTCATACACTATGCAGATTTTGGATCATCGCTCATCAGGATATAATTCCACTTTTTTTAATGCACAGAATGATCCAAAAATACAAAATGATTCTCATAGCATAACTTATAATATAATTGTAGCTTTATAAGACATAATTATAAAAGACATGTATCCAAACAAAAAGATATCAAGATAATGTGCATATGATTTGAGGAAAACGAAAATTGGGTTTTTTTTGAAGGGGAGAGGTTATAATTACTACTTTTTTTTATTACTTGTTACTACCAAATCTTAACCGTTGATTTCCTCAATCTAACGGTTAAGATTTGATAGTAACAAGTAGTAAGAAAAATATAATAACTATAACCTTTCCCTTTTTTTAATTTCTTTTTATGTAAATCTTTTTTTTTTTAATTTCGTTTTAAGTAAAAACGGTCAAAACGGTAAAAACATAAGTTTTTATCGCTTTTACGTTTTTACGCGACATTTTTACCAAAGACTATTTTTACTTGCGTTTTAACACGTACCACTCTAGTAAAAACATAAAAACACAAGTTTTTACGTTTTTACACTAATTTTTGACAACAATGCGGTTACGTATGTTAACTAGCGGGAATTCAGAGTTTTATCCACATAATATATATTTATGAGATTAGTATTTTTTATTGTAAAAAATATAAAATTATGTCATTTTAAATTAGATAAAAAAATAAATAATAAAAATTATTAGGGAAGAGAATGGGAAGTTTTTTAATTTAAACTTTAAATTCTTTAAAGAATAAACATTTTTTCTTATATTTATTTAAGGTTTAAGTTTTCTGTAGTTGCTGAAGAAAAATTTGTTTGCCATTTTAACAAAAAAAAAAAGGTGGGTTCCATGCAAAATATACTTCATTTACAAAAATTTGCCTATATACTTTAGGAGAAAAGTGTGTGTGGCAAATAAAAACTTATCTAGCATAAATGTTTTTCCATTTATTTACTGGAATCTATTGAAAACTGTAAAGAGAATAGTGTTATTATAAATAACTGGAGTGTTTTCTTTTAAAATGATAGTTTCAAATATTCTGGTTGGTCTTTTAAAGATTAGTGTGTAATCATATTAGTCTTTTTTAAAGGCTTTTATCTCTAAATAAATTAAATTAATGTCTCAAAGATTAATACGTCACTACATTAATCTATTAAAGATTTTTTTTTATTAAATTAGTCTCTCAAATGTTTAAAACGTCACTTATGGACGATTGACGTGGTAATAAAAAAAGTATGACTTTGTTAATATATCTTTAATGGACTAACTTGATCCACAAAATCTTTAATGATATATCTAAATATATAATGATGGTGAATAAAGGAAATAAAAGGAAAGCAAAGAGTTTCAATGTAGACATTTTTGATACATAATGCATAACTAATTATGCAGCAAGTATTTCCCATCGGGTTCTTCTATTTCTTATAGGCAAAAGTACCACACTAAAGTAATAACATTTGGCAAAAATTTTGTGTAGTCAAAACACATTTGAGATGTTTTTCGTAATAATGCAATCAAACTTGTACCTGCCATATGCATACAGGACTGATGTCATACCTAGCATGTATGGGTTTGACTGTATTATTATGAAAAATATCTCAAATGTGTTTTGACTAGGCAAAACTTTTGCCAAATGTTATTAGTATAGTGCTTTTCCCATCTATATATATATATATATATATATATAAAGGGGAGTTTACTGCTGAAAAATTTTGCCAAGTGTCACTCTCTGGTTAATTCTACAATTTGGTTATATACAAACTTTCTTTATTGGGTAAATTGAAAAAAAAAAAAAAACTCTTTTAAAAATTGAATTTTAATTTTTAAATCGAATAATAGTTGCAGACAAGACATTGAATGTCCCACTGCCCATCACATTGGTATCCAAAAAAAAAATCAGCTGTTTGAATTGCTTTTTATGTTAGAATTGGTCATCTCATCTGAAATTCGAAATTTTATGTTGTGGATTTTTTTGTTTGACAGATTCAATTCAAGACATGAAGCATTTCCCTCATTTCAAAGATTCAACGCAACGATGGTAATTATTCTTGTCTCTTAAGAAATTACAATCGCTTAGTTTAATATTTGAGGACTTGATCATGTTTTGGTTAATCATTGTTAACACTGGTTGGTTGATTTTCTTTAATTTCATAATTTTAATTATTGCTTTTTCACTTCTTATTGGTCATGTTGCTACTCCAATTGTGTTATATGTATACAGTTTTAATCCGTGATCTGGAAATAACGTCGGAAGGAACATCCTAATATATCTTTACCTGCTTTAAAATTGAAATCCTTTGCTAAGGTTTTTAGCTTGAGTTTTCTTCCAAGTACTGGTAATTTTTGATCTTCTGGTGCAGCTTATGCTAACATGTATTGTTTTTCTTTTATCCAAATTTTTGCTGAACTTGATTGAGCGAGCAATTTGCTTGCCAGTTAGAGGTTGGTCAAGTGGTGAGGGTGGGGCATGGTTTTTACAAAGGTCATCAGCTCATTCCCTCTTCTAAACTGAAAAAACTAAAAAATATCATGGCTTAGGAAAATTAAAAGAAGAATTAACCTGGGAATGGAAAGATATATTCTCTTTCTTTCTAACTGTTCCTGACTTCGTCTCTGCTCTATTAAATGTTTGTTCAAATTTTTGTTGTATTTATTGTACAGGTTGTTCTTGCTGCATTCATTGTGGGCAAAACACCAATCCAATCCATAAGGTCATGGCCTAACAAAGCCATTAGCCACCATAGGTGCATCCTATAATCTATGACCATTTGTCCATTCGAGTTCGGCCTGCCAAAACACCAAAAACGCAGTTGGGACGAGGCCAATTGAAGCAGATTAACAGCTACCACTATATCAATGCCTGCTTTGACAAGTGCTAGAGTTCTTTCAAGGAAACATGAAATTTTGCTACAAAAGTGGGTGGTCACCGGAGGTCATCATCTGAAATTTTGCTTCTCAACTCTCGGTTTTAGATTGATGGATTTTGTATTTGAAAGTACCAAATTCAGATATGGCTGTCATACTTCAAACGGTGCATTGTATTTTCTACTCTGCAATTTTTTCTTCCAAAAAATGATGTTTAACAACCTTGCATTTGATAATGACATCAATGAACACAAAGGTGAAGATATTCATTTTGCAATAGATTTCAATTGCTACAAATGAATATCCAAACAAATTTTTAGATAGTTTACATGTAGTTTAATAGCTTTGCTACCGGCATTATCTTATTATTTACATGCAGTCTAATAGCTTTGAGTCTATTGATTTTGCTACATTCAAGAAAAACTATAATAACAAAGAAACCACTTTAAAATATTTCCTATTTAATAAGTTCCTACATTCAAAATTTTAATTCGAATTTTTTTTTGCTTCTTGATGCATTGAAATTGGTTAAGTCTATTAATGATATTTATTATTATATATATAAAAAAAATTTATACATAGGTAATTGTTAACCCTTTTAATATCCCACTATTGAGCTTAATTAGTAAATAAATAAATTATTATGTGTATAAAATTATATATTAAATAAAAAAATATTTAAAATTATAAAAACATATGCACAGTTGATAAAAAAAATTTAAATTTAAATTTAAATAAAAAAAATGATAAAAGACATATTTATACTTTAAGAAGAAATAAATTAAAAATTTAAGTTAAAAAAGAATACAAAAAAGGTATGCGTACAAGGATTTTTATTTAAAAAAATCAACATAAACATTTTAATTTTTCAAAAAATATGTATCATTAATAACCATTTTGTTATTAATTTGAAAATATTTTAAATTAAAATTGTTATTAATTCATTTTCGTGAAAATAGTGCAGCTTTTTATTATGGTTCTGATTTTAAATTAAAACATGCTTCTAATATAATTAAATTTAACTTGCAAAAACTATAATGTTTTTAATTAAAAATTTAATATGAAATTATGATTATAGTTTTTGTTTAAAAAAACTTTTTTTTTACAAGTCTGTTTGAAATTGGAAACTGACATTTAAAATTTGAAATTTAACTCCATAATCTATATATATAAAGGAAATCCAAACTTTGGAAACTTAGCTAATGTGTCACTCTCTGCTTAATTCTGAGATTTGTGTT